AATCAATACTCAGTCAGAACTCCATTTATAGTAATTGCCAGAACTTCCATCGATAGCAAGTCCTTAGAAATTTTAGAATCTCCATGAAAACAAAAAAATGGGCCAAGATGAGAGCTTATTGAAATTATGAAAATAAAATTATAAGAAGAGTTTGTTCAAATTATTCAAGGCATCAAATCATTAGCTTTTTGAGAGCCAGTAGGTGGTAGAAATGGTTATATACAGCAAATCAGTAAATAATAACACTTTACTCACTTTTTGCAAATACCTTATAAACAATATCCCATTGTCCTCCCTAACTTTCTAATAGCTTAAATTAATCTACTGTAATAAAAGCACTCTTTGACATGCCCTAGTGAATGCGTGGCCCAGCCACGTCCCTTCGACTAATTGGAGAAAAATGATTTTTTACTGAGTTGGGCGAAAATTTCAAAAATCTCCAACAGTTCTGCACGAATATAGGTCATTCGCTTTTGCTTGGATTCCTAAGTGCCAAGTTTGTGACCCATTGTCGGAAAAGAATTTAAGAGATTTTTTGATTGGTTTGAAAGTTTGCCTTAGATTTTTGTCACAGCCTTCTTCAAAAATCGTTTTTTCCTCTCGAAAAAACCTTTTTTCCTAATAAAGGCTTCGCTTGATGAGTTTATGTAGAGAAGTATGGGAGGCTAAATGTTGAGGATAATCACTCTTTGTGAGGTTTTCTGTTGACAACAAAATAATCTTTTCTTCTCTCCAACCCGCTTTCTTTTCCTCTACCCCCTTCGCCCTCCGTTCCATCAGTGTTTCAGTTGTGATGAAATGCAATACGCAATGTGGGAACTACCGTAATCTGGACTTTAGCTGGTTGTTTTTCAAATAAAACACCTAGGTAAAACTTGAGTGCTTCTTTTAATAATATCGCTTCAAATCTCATCTCTGTCAATTCAGCTAACACTCCAAAATTTTTATTCAAAATTGCTCTCGCATTACCACGCATAGCATATTAATTTTGAAAAAGAGTAAGAAACAAACTAACTCCCCTACCGCCCTATTTGAGTATACAATGCGCTTTCATAATTCTGGATATTGCAAGGATAGGAAAACTATAGCTGGCTTTGAAGCAAAGATATTTCAATCTGAAGCCTTCTTTCAATCTTAAATGGAAGTCTCACAAAAAATATTTTGATGCTGGAAATTCTAACGACTATATAATTGGCGAGCTAAGTTGTTTGGAATTAAGTTATTCTTTTTGCTGGATGTAACTAAAAGGACTATTTTAGGTTGCATGAAGTCAACAGTTTTTAATTACTTCCTATTTTCGATTAGTGATTGTGCTATATATCGCAAACCTGAATCCTGAATTAAGCAAAGTCTGTTATACATAGGAACAGTTTTTGCGCAACCAAGCCTAGGCTGACGTTGGATGCTGATACTTTCTTCTTTCCTAACCATCTTCTAATGAAATTAGTTAACTATACTGAGTGTAGTACAGTTTGGCTTCCGTCGCTCTCAAGTACCTTTTTTCCTCGCGCCTAAGCACTTTTAGAGAGGAATATGTATTGCAAAGATCAAAAGATGTATGGCCGCCATTGTTTACTGTTTGCTTAAACTAAGAAGCGAACGCTATAAGTCGAAGTGAGCTTTTGAAAGCCGAAAGATGAAAAGTGTACCATTCAATAGATAAGCTGTTGTAGCGCTGCATATCTTCTTAGCTATCAATTCTAGCGGAGTAAAACACGTTTTTCCTCTGCTGAAATTCTCGTTTAGGACTGAAAATTGCGCGAAAGTCAATTTTGAACTAAAACAGCAGCGCCAAAGCTCAATCTAATGGTTTTTAGTAGCTTATAAGCACTTGTATGGCGGTTCTAAGGAGAAAATCTTGCTTCAGAGTCATCGCTTATAGTTCGTTCAAACTATTTTTGGTAATGAAAAACTAAAGGCTCTTTCCAGAGAAACACTCCTATATTGTAGGCTTGTAATAAGCACTTCAAGTGCGTCGAGTGATGCATCAAACATTTTGAAACGCCATTCAAGTGTAAATGTTACCTCGCAACTTTAAGCTTCTTGGCAATTTTCTTAATATCAAGTTGAAATTTTGTAACTGACAAAAATCTTATGTGTAGGCAGCTTAAATCGGAATTTTATGATATATGAATAAATGCATAATGCAACAGCAAATAAATAGATTCCATGTACAGCTGAATATCTGGGTTGGGAAATGGATGGAGAAGACTGTTACATGATTGATTCTGGGACGAAAAAATTACACGAGAGCTTAGTCTCCTTAATGAACCTAATATCTTCATGAATTGCATTCATTCCAGCTATGCCTGCTCACTTTCTCTGACATCAACGCAGTCTGGGCATTATGGACCGTTCTTCCGATTGCAAGTGCCCATCCCACAAGAGTTACCCTTTCCACCGCGTATTGACTCTTCACAACCTCAGGTGTTCCCGGAGGCTCCTACTTTAGGATCTACTGTGTACTTGGAATGCTTCGCATACGGGAAGTGAGTAAGACATCAGCGTTCAGCGCATCAAACTTAATATAAAGGAAATCCTGTTCACTAAACTTTGAAGTTTATTGACTTATCAAATTGAATAAAAGCCGTTGTAGCCCTGTGCCCGTATACAAGTGGACCCGCGTAGATGGAAGGCGAATCAACAAGAAAGCAGTATTGATGCACTATGGACGAGTGCTAAGGATCGACCGCGCGGAAGCGTCAGATAACGGCAGATACAAGTGTTCGGCGGGAAACTCGCTGGGAATCGCAGCTGGAGAAGTTACACTAACATTAAGAAGTTAGTGGCATGTGATTTTTCGCTTTTCTTAACCAAACTGACGTAAATTCGAGTACAAGAACGTTTTTGGGCATGCCCACCGACACAAGCGTTAGCGATAGAGCAGTTACTCATGAGGCGATAATGATAATCAACTGACAAAAACGGTATGCTGCTAAAATACTACGCGCATGGCAGAGTTGCTCGGAAACGTTTATTGTTATGAACCATATACAGTAATGTAGTGTAAACCGTATATTTCTATTGGGAAGAAATTGTTTTAGTGGAAGGATTTTGAATTATCCCCTTTTTATTGCGGTTTCATCATTCTCTTTTAATTATTAGGCGGAAAATTTTTTTGAAACCTATCCAATAAGTTATGATAATAATCGGTGTGCATTTTGATAGATCCTACTCAAGACTGTTATTACTGTCATAACACTTCAAAATCATTATTTTCATGCTGTCTCTTTTACACCACTTCATTTTTTTTCTTACATTCTTAGAGATTTTTCTTACAGTTATTTCTCTGAATTCAGCACCTCCCATTATTATCCTCCCCTTGGCTGATCGGGTGGTTCCGTCTGCATCTGCATTTACCCTAGAATGCCCACTTTCTACTATGGATATGCAATCATCTGTGGAGTGGTTCAAAGTGGGTTGAGCTATTTCCGATTAGTTTGCAGTCCCAACAAAATATTTACAGGACGCTAAGCCAATTGTACCTCTTCTTATGCCTAGTCAACAAAGACGACGATTTACAGTGCAGCAAAACATGTGCGACATATTCCATTTAAGAATTGCTCTTTGCGCTAAAAAAAATTCATAAAACTT